ACCGTTGTCACTCATCTCTCAATTCTGATTTTCCTTCACTGCCTCCTTTCTGTGTGGTGAGGAGATCAGGAATTGCTGTCTTGCTCCCTTCTACCATCTTCCCAGTCTCTCATTGATTTTCTTTTAATTGATGCATTATAGTTACATATAAAATTGGACTGCATTGTGATATATTCACACATGCACATAGTATAATTTGATCAACTTTATTCCCCAAATTCTTCCCCTTTGCCTCTTGTCCTCCCTCACCCTTTATTTCCTATTTCTACTCCTGTCCCTTCTATTTTTTGGAAGTTCCCCCAACTTTATTCCCTTTTGTCTCCCTAACTTACATTTATGAGAGAAGGCATTTGATCCTTGCTTTCTGAATCTGACTTATATAACTTGGCATGATGTTCCATTGATATACCAGCAAATGAAATAATTTCATTTTTCTTTATGGCTGAGTAGAACTCCATTGTGTGTGTGTATATATCACATGTTCTTAATCCATTCATCCTATTGGTCAGCGCCTAGGCTGGTTTCATAACTTGGCTATTGTGCTATAGAATACTGATTTTGGATTTTTACATAATTACCAAGAAGTGGGAGAGCTGGACCATATGTGGTTCCATTTAGAGTCATCTCTACACTGCTTTCCAAATTGGTAGTACTAGTTTGCAGTGCCATCAACAAAGTATTAACATACTTTTTCTCCCACATCCTCAACAATTATCCTTATTTATATTCTTGATAATTGCCATTCTGGCTGTGGTAGTATGAAATCTCAGTGTCGGAGGCCACCCTGCGCAGGAGCAAAGGACACCCCGTTAGCCTTGAATAATGAAGTATTGAACTGGCATCGCAAGCCACACACTGTGCGAAGCAAAGTGGGCCTTACCTTCGCTCTGCAGGGAAGTGCTTCAGCTCTGGGCTTGAGGATTACCCAAAGGGATTGGGCAACCCCGCTTCTGAAATTCTATCCCCTACCTTATTTGGTTGGAATATTCCATCGAATGTCTTTTCCTAATAAATAGAGGGGTTCCTGGTGCTCTCTTGCCTTTGAGCGTGGAAGAGGACCCTAGAGGCCCTGAGAAACTCATGTCGTGTGTTGCATGAACTGTTTGCCATTTTCTTATCTTGATGTTGCAGCCAGCTCTTTTGAATGTGGATTTTCCTCTGTGCCTTTAATCCATTTCTAGTTCAATTTTATGTGCTGTGTAAGATCCAGCTTTTCACTTTTATGTACTGTGCAGGTCCAGCTTCATTCCTTTGCATGTAAATATCCTCTTTCCCAGCACCATACGTGGATGAGACTCTACCTTCCCTATTGTCAGTTCTTGGTGCCTTTTGGTGATTGACTATGTGTGCATGGGTTTGTATCTGAGTTTTCTCTTGTGTTCCATATTCATGTGGTATTCTCTACTCTCTTCTTTGTGTCAGTTTTCATGTCAGTATCTGAGTGGATTATGAGAATCTTACAATATATTTGAAAATAATTACTATAAAACCTCTTCTTTGTTCTTCTTTTCTCAGGAGGAGATGGCTATTTATTACCTTTTGTGGTGTCATATGAATTAAAGGATTTTCTTTCAATATCTAGTAAAATTGCCATTGATAGATTGACAGGAATGTCACTGAATCTCTTGCTTTGGGTAGCCTGGACATCTTAACTATCTTTATTTTTCTAATCCATAAGCACACTATATCTTTATATCCATGTATGTCTTCAGTTTTTCTCATCAATGTTTTATAATTTGTATGATACATGTAAATTTGCTTTCTTTGAATTCATTTGGCTCAATTTGCTCCGAAGTGTTTTGTTCTTTTTGGTGCAATTGTAAAAAGAATATTACTATTTGGGTTTTTTTTTTGATAGATGATTATTAAGGATATAGAAATGCATCTGCTTTTCTCAGGTGGATTTTGTCTCCAGAACCTTGACTGAACTTGTTAATTAGTTCTAACAGTTTTCATTGGTAAAGAGTGTAGCATTCTCTATGAAGAGGACTTGTCCTCTGCCAACAGAGGCGGCCCTTCCTTGTTCCTTCCTGGTTTGGATTCCTGTGGTTTCTTTTTCCTCTCAGATTCCTCTGTCTGGGGTCTTCAGCACTACATGGAACAGACATTGCTGCAGGGTGGGCAGCCTCACCTTGGTCATGATCTTAAGGAAAAGCTTTCCATTTTTCGGCCACTACATACAACATTTGATGTGGTAGATCCTGTGTGACCTTTATTGTCCTGTGGTGCATTCCTTTTTACCTAATTTTTGTAGTCCATCCATCATGAAAGAGTGTTGATTTTTTTCAGAATCATCGTTCTACACCTAATGAGATAATATGATTTTATCTTTCATTCTGTCAGTACAGTTGACCACATTGAATTATTTTTGTGCTTTGAAACATTTTTGCAACTGGGATAAATCTCATTTGGTCCTAGTGTATGATTTAATCATGTTCTGTTGAATTTATTCTACCAGTATTAAGGATTTTTCTGTCTATGGAAATGAGGTATATTGCCCTGTACCTATAGGTTTTGCTAATATTACAGTAACTTTACAGTCTGGCCTATTCAAAGCTCATCCAAGTTGTATTAAGAATCCTCCTTCTCAGATAGGAAAGAGAAAGCTAAGCACAGCCCCACCATAATTCCTTTCTATGAACCTGAACTCGCCCTTCTGTGCTGTTCCAGGGATGGACCCCACACATTGAGCAATCGCTGTGGGAGGCCAGGCCATAATACTCAATTTGTCACCTGGTACCATTAGTCCTGCACCAAATCCTGTTTGAAAAAGCCACAGCAGTTCTCATTTGCATTTACTGCAGATTTACATCACTGATGTGTCCTTTATCAAATGAGATCCTCTGTAGAGACACCCTGAACACACCAATGTGTTCATGTAACAGCTTCCTTGACTTCTGTCTTTGTGGACACAGATAGACCCACCTCAGCAGCCACAGCATTTCCTGGAGGGTGGGGAGCAGATGCGGCCATCCACCCCCTCTACATGGAAGTTACTGAAGGCTCCAGTTCTGGCCATTTCCAACAGTGCTGGCAGGATAAGTACCTAGCTTTCGACATGCTGGATGAAGGAAGGGACACATGCTAAGGACTTGGAAGGGTGCTCCCAAATGATTCTGAGGAGTATCCATGGTCACATCTCCCAGGGGATCTGCCCAGGCCTCTGTCTCCTGTATTCTCACCAGGGCTGTTCAGCACCAGCCTTAAAACCTGCCCATTCAGTGGGGACAAACAACCTCTCAGTAGTAAGTGTGTTGACCATGGTGTGTCAACATTCAAAGGTTCACAGTTACTATGCGCAGTGATTCGTTTTTGAATTGCAGGAATTTGTTCTTTGTCCCCCTAGAAAAATGATTTTCTCATGAAGTTTGATGTGTCCCTGGGATGTTAATCTTATATCAGTCTAGGTTTTTTGGGGGGAGGGTCCAATTTTATTTTAAGTTTTATTTATATTTCACAGCAGAATGCATTAAATTCTTATTACATATATAGTGCACAATTTTTCATGTCTCTGGTTGTTTCAGAAACACTTTGCTAGTTGTAATTTGTCTTTCTAAGTATCTATGTTCTTTTTGTTTTTTGATCAGGAGTCAGTCATTTCCTTTATGACTTCTGACCCTTGAGTCAGAAAAAAAATGCTTTCAACTTAAATGTTATCAAAGTATTTTCTAAGAAGCTTTCTTTTTACATATACACTTAGACCTGCTAGATGAGTAGCACATAATGATATCCCAGTGATTTAGGAGGCTGAGGAAGGAGGATTTAAAGTTGGAGGTCAGTTTCCCCAACCTAGGGAGCTCCTCAGGAACTTAGTGAGACTCCATCTCATAAAGGAAAAAAAAAAACTGGAGATGAGGCACTCACTAAATGCCCCTGGGTTCAATTTCTAATACTAATTAAAAAAAAAAAAAACTAAAAATCTTGGATCTCTATGGCATTTACTATTCAAAGAAAATTAATTAACAGTCCCTGCCAATATTGTGTGGACAAACACAAAAGTCCGACTACAATGACATGAAAAAGCCAGAAGAGAAAGATCAGAGGGAGGGTGTTCCCTGGAGACAAGCAGGAGGGAGAGCAGGTGTGGGTGGGTGTGGGTACCAGACACAGGACAGTGTAATGCACTTAAAGACAATTAGCTGAACTTTTTAAAAAAAATCTTAAATTTTAAAATAAATTAGTTTCAATAAAAATACAAAAAAAGAAAAAGAAAAAAAGAAAAGGAGAGGTAAAGGGCAGTTCTGGGATGGGAGCTGGTGCAACGGGGGTGCTCAGTCGGTGGTCCAGGCTGTGTTCCCACTGGGAGCCACAGATCTGTTTCTGAACCTGGAGCTCTCTCTCAAGTGGTGGGTTGGTAATTCAAGATGAGCTGGACTTTCGTATCTTTTATCTTATGTTTACGATCTACTGCAAGTATGTATGTTTCTAAGTGCTTTATTATTCTACTTGGCTTGTTGATATTACTATAAATGATGTCTCCACATACTCTCTTGTTCAGCACTGGTGTGGAGAATCACAAACTCTAATGACAGGGAGCTGGACATTTTTGGTTTTGCCTGCTGGATATGTTCCCTGTTACAAAGCAGATTTATCTTTTCTCCAGGCATTGGACATTAGTAGTAGTAGTAGTAGTAGTAGTAGTAGTAGTAGTAGTAGTATTTTTTTATTTCCAAATAACACTGCTTTGAGGCAAAGGGTTTAAGTTTAGGGAAGCCACAGTAAACCAGCAAGAGGCTGACACAAAATGAAAAAGGAAAAGACCATGGATGTAACTCAGTGGTAATGTGCCCCTGGGCTGAAGCCCAGTAATAAAAAAGTAAAAATAAAAAACATAAAAAACATAGATCTCTATGGCGTTTGTCCTTCTAAGGAAACATAATTAGTCCCTTCCAACTTTACACAGCCCAGAAGAAATCAGACTGCACTGGTTTAAAAAATGCAGACTCAGCATATCACAGGACTAGAAGCTAAGGGGTCGCTGGGGACTAGCAGGAGGGTGGGGAGGCAGTGATCATAGATACCGAATTCCGGAAGACGTTCTGGAACTGCATAGTGGTGACTAGTGCACAGTTTAGAGAAGGCACTTGATGCCAAATGACTGAGACTTTTAACAATGAAAACAAATCTTTAATTTAAAATAATAAACACAAACAATAAAAACAAATAAACCAATGGCCTGGGAGAAGAACAGAGGCTCAGGGTTCCTCTCAGGATGCCATGCTGACTGAATGGCCAGCAGGATGTGTTTGCCTTGATGGTCCACTGCAGGTTCGTCCAGCTCCAGTTCTCTATCAGATGGTGGAGTTGGTGGACCACGAACGGGAGCTTCCACAAGCACCAGAGCTGCTAGAGGAGTAAAGGTCCACAGACTATCCACGTTAGGTCCAGGGACAGAATATTCCCTACTGCCTTTCATACAATTCCACACAAAACCAACACCAGGCAGTGTTCCCAGAATGCACACAGACAATGACAGCTCTGCCTCTCATTGTTCCTGCCCCGCCCCAGTTCCTGTGCAGTATGCTCTGCTTGTCCCTCCCTGTCCCATTGTGACATACTCATACCCCACCTCAGTCCTCCTCACCTTCAGCCTGTTCCTCCATGGGCTCAGGGTTTTCTGTCAAGGCTGGGACCTGGTGTCCTTGGTCCTCCTCCTCGGGGCCTGTGACAGTGACCTGGCTGTGGACATTACCAAGTGGGTAGTGAGGCAAATGCAAGTGAGGGAGTGAGGAGACCACCCAAGAGGGATGGGGGGGGGCAGCACTATGAGAGGCCTGGCCTTTCCTACCATGAGGTCAGTGATCTTGGCACCCCACAGTTCAGAGGAGAGGGCTGAAGCTCAGAGAGTCACAGGGCCAGTATCAGGACTCACAGCTGTATGTGACCCTGTCACCCTGGGCAGGGCTTACCTTCCCAACATTTGGCCCATCTCTTGTTGGGTGGAGGAACTCGAGATATTTGAGGCCAAAGAGGATGATTGAAAGAACATGGGCTCCAGGGTCTCCTCCAGGTTCCCCAGGGAGTACGCCTGGAACACATATCCAATGCTGGTATCATCCCCTCTGTAGCCACCTTCTTGGTTGGGACATTGAAGAAACAGAGTCAGTGCCAAACTGACCCACCAGAAGTGTCTGGGGGTGGAGTCCAGTGCAATAGCAAAAGCAAATAGGGGCTTGTCCCACAGAGGGACAGGAGAGCCCCAGCAGGGCAATGGCAGAGTTCACAGTGGAATTGCTGAGGGGATAGTTAGAAACACAGCAGCTTCAGGCCAGTGTGTTAGCTGAGCAGAGGTGGCAGCTCTGTGCATTTAGGAGCTTATCCCCTGAGTCCCACCAGCACACCACCTTCTGGAGATGGGAAAACGGGCTCATCCCAGACAGGAGGGTCCCTGTGTGAGGACACCCAGAACATCATTCTCTGTGGTGCTGTTGAAATGGCTCCAGAACGGAATGAGGTCCAGGTCCCACAGCCCTGAAAGGCTGAATGACTGTGGAACCTGGGTCCCCCCGGAAGGTGGTGAGGTCCTGGGGGCTCAGCTCCTACTTTCCCAGTCTGTGTTCCTTGAGATAGCAAGTACCAGAGAAATGGACCAATTGGCATGAGCCTTGTAGTGTTTCAGCTAAACTCATCCCTAGTAATCCTGATGATGTGTAAGACTTGGAGAGAGTGTGGAAGGACCGTCAGGCCATTGTCACCTGGACACCTGGGTGTTGGAGTTATAGTCAGTTGGGTGGCAGAGTACAAATCATCAGAGAATTAAAATGAAATAATGTCCATGTTGCTGTTCTGTTGTTGTCAAAATTATGGGAACAGTGACCTTGGATGAGTCCAAGAACGAGGCAGGCAGAGAGGGTGAGGAGGATGGGTGAGGATTTGTTGTTCAGATTCCTCATGGTGGGGACTCTGCCCCTCCATCTCCCATCCCTACCAGGAAGGTGGTCCTGGTGGTGTCTGTGCTCTTATTCTTTAGAAATTTCCATCCAATGAAGGTCAAGAGGGTCAGGACAGGTGAGGTAACTCGATCCCTGGGGATGTAGGAAGGCATGCCCTGGGGGATGGAAGTCCAAATTTTAATGCTCCAGTAGGTTGAATTGCAGGATTTATTGCCCTTAAATCTTGTATTAACCTCCAATTACCTGAATTTTTCTTAATTACAAAAATGGATGTGTTCCAAGGGCTAAGTGTAGGCTCTGAATGACCAGCTTTAAGCTATTCTTTGACTCAAATATGAGCTATTTTAAGTTTTTCCCCTGTTACAGGCCACTGACTAACCCAAATTGGCTCTTCTGTGAGCCAAGTGATCTTTTTTGCTACCTTTATTTTTAGAGAGAGAGAAGAGAGAGAGAGAGATTGAGAGAGAGAGAGAGAATTTTTTAATATTTATTTTTTAGTGATTGGTGGACACAACATCTTTGTATGTGGTGCTGAGGATTGAACCCGGGCCGCACGCATGCCAGGTGAGCGCGCTACCGCTTGAGCCACATCCCCAGCCCTTCTGCTACATTTTGTACCGGGAAAAAGTAAGGGCCCCTACCAAAAATTTTGGTTGGGTGCATTAATTAATCTCTGTCGAGGAGACTGGTTCATAAGTAGAGATTCATCCTGTAAATTTCTTTCACTATCCCTAGGAATAAACCATTGATTAAATTTCTCAGATGACTTGATAGAATTTGGAGTTACTAATAATAATCCTAAACTGCTTAGGATATCTCTTCCCCATAAGTTTACTGGTAAAGAATCTAAATCATATGTCTTAAAAATTTCAGTATTTCCATCTCAGTCCTCCCAGTGAAGATATTGGGCACTCTGGGCAGGCTGACAAATCTGTCCTATTTCTTCTAAATTGGCTGGCGCAGTATGGAAAGGCCAGGTTTGGGGCCAAAATCAGTGAGACAAAACTGATTTATCTACTGCCTTTCATAAAATTCCACGCACAAACCCAACACCGGGCAGTGTTCCCAGTATCTATAACTCCTTGAAATTTTTTATGATTAATTTTTAAGTTCCAATAGGGGGTGCTCCTGCCAAACTAATTGGGCCCAGTATGCTCCGCCTGGCGATTTGGAAATTGAGATTTTATCTGGACTGTCCACAGAGCTGCAGGGTAAAAGAATTAATTGGGCTAGCGCGTTTTTAGTAGAAAGCTGAATGGCATATTCTGATTTTACAGTAACTGTTATTTCACCTCTAAAACAAGTATCAATAATTCCCAGTAATACTTGGATTGACTCTTTAAATTTCATTCCAAAATTAATCCTATAGTGCCTGGGGGTAATGGCCCATGAATTCTGGTAGGAATCCGCTGGGGTCCCATTTCAGGTGTTAACATGGCTAGTTGAAAGAGTACTGTGTGGGTGGTGCCTGCTAGTAAAAATGGCGGTCCGCCATGGCCAGCTATCATGACATCAGAGCTTGTGACTCCTCCAAATCCCCTTCTGTTTGGCAGGCCTGGGGAAAGGCAGGGTTAACTAGGACATGTGAGGTAACTCAATCCCTGGGGATTTAGGAAGGCATGCCCATGCAAGAAGACACATTTGCGTTTTTCTGCCCTCAAGATGGGGGCTATTGTGTTCAGCTACTTAAAAGTAGCCACATCACCGGGGTGACCATCAGTGCCATAGCTAATCAGGAGGGGAAGCAAACGCTGGTCACATGCTATGGCAGCCTCCAACAATGGAGCAAGAGCCTGTCTCAAAATGAAAAAGGAACAAGACCATGGATGTAGCTCAGTGGTAAAGTGCCCCTGGGTTCCAGCCCAGTAACAAAGAAATAAGAATAAAAAATAAAAAAACGTAGATCAGTGTGGCATTTTCCCTTCTAAGAAAACATAATTAGTCCCTTCCAACGTTACACAGCCCAGAAGAAATCATACTGCACTGGTTTGAAAAATGCAGACTCAGCATATCACAGGACTAGAAAGCTAAGGGGTCACTGGGGACTAGCAGGAGGGAGGGGAGGCAGTGGTCATGGATACTGAATTCCAGAAGACATTCTGGAACTACATTGTGCTGACTAATGTACAGTATAGAGAAGGCACTTGATGGCAAATGACTGAGACTTTTAACAATGAAAACAAATCTTTACTTTTAAATAAAATAATAAACACATACAATAAAAATGAATAAACAAATGGCCTGGGACAAGACCAGAGGCTCTGGGTTCCTCTCTAGATGCAGTGCTGACTGAAGGGCCAGCAGGATACGTTGGCCTTGATGGTCCAAGGCAAGTGCGTCCAGCTCCAGTTCTCTATCAGATGGTGGAGATGTTGGACCTCGAACGGGAGCTTCCACAAGCACCAGAGCTGCTAGAGGAGTAAAGGTCCACAGACTATCCATGTTAGGTCCAGGGACAGAATATTCCCTACTGCCTTTCATACAATTCCACGCACAAACCCAGCACCAGGCAGGGTTCCCAGAATGTATGAAGACAATGACAGCTCTGCCTCTCATTGTTCCTGCCCCGCCCCAGTTCCTGTGCAGTAAGCTCTGCTTGTCCCTCCCTGTCCCATTCTGACATACTCATACCCCACCTCAGTTCTCCTCACCTTCGGCCTGTTCCTCCATGGGCTCAGGGTTTTCTGTCAAGGCTGGGACCTGGTGTCCTTGGTCCTCCTCCTCGGGGCCTGTGACAGTGACCTGGCTGTGGACATTACCAAGTGGGTAGTGAGGCAAATGCAAGTGAGGGAGTGAGGAGACCACCCAAGAGGGATGGGGGGGGCAGCACTATGAGAGGCCTGGCCTTTCCTACCATGAGGTCAGTGATCTTGGCACCCCACAGTTCAGAGGAGAGGGTTGAAGCTCAGAGAGTCACAGGGCCAGTATCAGGACTCACAGCTGTATGTGACCCTGTCACCCTGGGCAGGGCTTACCTTCCCAACATTTGGCCCATCTCTTGTTGGGTGGAGGAACTCGAGATGTTTGAGGCCGAAGAGAAACAGTCATAGAAGAAGGCAGGCTCCAGGGTCTCCTCCAGGTCCCCCAGGGAGTACGCCTGGAACACATATCCAATGCTGGTGTCATCCCCTCTGTAGCCACCTTCTTGGTTGGGACATTGAAGAAACAGAGTCAGTGCCAAACTGACCCACCAGAAGTGTCTGGGGGTGGAGTCCAGTGCAATAGCAAAAGCACATAGGGGCTTGTCCCACAGAGGGACAGGAGAGCTCCAGCAGGGCAATGGCTGGCAGAGTTCACAGTGGAATTGCTGAGGGGATAGTTAGAAACACAGCAGCTTCACGCCAGTGTGTTAGCTGAGCAGAGGTGGCAGCTCTGTGCATTCGGAGCTTATCCCCTGAGTCCCACCAGCACACCACCTTCTGGAGATGGGAAAACGGGCTCATCCCAGACGGGAGGGTCCCTGTGTAAGGACACCCAGGACATCATTCTCTGTGGTGCTGTTGACATGGCTCCAGGACAGAATGAGGTCCAGGTCCCACAGCCCTGAAAGGCTGAATGGCTGTGGAACCTGGGTCCCCCTGGAAGGTGGTGAGGTCCTGGGGGCTCAGCTTCTACTTTCCCAGTCTGTGTTCCTTGAGACAGCAAGTACCAGAGGAATGGACCAATTGGCAGGAGCCTTGTGATGTTTCAGCTAAACGCAGCCCTAGTAATCCTGATGCTGTGTAAGACTTGGAGAGAGTGTGGAAGGACCGTCAGGCCATTGTCACCTGGACACCTGGGTGTAGGAGTTATAGTCAGTTGGGTGGCAGAGTACAAATCATCAGAGAATTAAAATGAAATAATGTCCCTGTTGCTGTTCTGTTGTTGTCACAAATATGGGAATTGTGACCTTGGATGAGTCCAAGAACGAGGCAGGCAGAGAGGGTGAGGAGGATGGGTGAGGATTTGTTGTTCAGATTCCTCACGGTGGGGACTCTGCCCCTCCACCTCCCATCCCTATCAGGAAGGTGGTCCTGGTGGTGTCTGTGCTCTTATTCACTTTTATTCTGCTCTGTGCCCTGCCAGTAGAGTCCCCCCTGTCCCGCACTTATCCTGAGGCCCAGCTCCTGCCCATTGGTGCTTGGCTCTGGATATTCCTCAGTGGACGTGGGGTTGGAGCTGAAGCTGCAGCTCCAGTGCTTATTGAGGATAAACTGTGGAAAGAATGGAAGACAGTGCCTGGTAGCTGGCCGGGAGCCCCAGCCCCTGCTCGCCTCCATTCAGGGTGTTTGTGTCTCTTGTGGCCTTCTGCTCCCCCGACCTAATACAGACCCTGTGTCTCAGGTTTTACCCTGTAGGACAGGAAATGACACTGGGTGCCCAGGCCGTACCGTGGACACTTTCATTCCCCACCTTTTTCCCTGTCCTGGGGGTGACCATGATAGGACACGAGGCTCACAATCTCCCACCACCTTTTCCTGCCTCAGGTCCCTGTTCTCCCCTACTGAGGAGCAAGGTGGTGGGACTCTGCAGGGCTACTCACAGTGATGTTCTCTCCTGGATGTACCTCACCAGGGCTATCAGGTGTGGACCTAAAGCTACTCCTCCCACTTTCAGGTGTGCCAATTGGAGGAGGACCATCAGCGAGGCACAGGCAGCAGCACATGAAGCAACTTCGCAGTTGTTTCCAAAAGTTTCTTCTTTTGGGTGTCCAGTGGATTGGGTCTGGGGAAGGGGCCGTGCAGCCATAGGGGGAGCTCTGGCGACGTGGCCTCCTAAAGGGTCGGCCTCCACAGGGGAAGCAGGACAACATGTTTTGGCTTTCAAAGTATTTCACCAAATGAGCTGGGAGGAGGCTGTTGCTAGAATGTGGGTGCCTGGTTACTGGGTTCCAAGTTCTGTTTGACTCTATGACCAAGGAAGGGGGCCCATGTCTTGGGGTTCCTGGCCTAACCCATCCTCCAGATAAGCCCATGTTTGTCCCTCTGTTGGCTCTCCTCCAGCCCCATGCCATTGCCATATGTGTACACAGCCAACCCCAACACTAGCCCCACATCCCTTGGCAGGCATGGGTGTAGCCAGGGTCCCAGCTCTGAGGAGACACATCTAGGTTTCAACCCTGCTCCTCCTCCTGTCCTCTCATGTGACCTTGGACAAGTCATCATGTCTCTAAGGCTTGCCCAGTGTCCCCCTGCACAGTGTCTACTTCCTAGCACTGTCACCAGGCATATCTGACATAACACTTAGAAACGATGTTGTCAAATGTCTGTAATGCACAAAAGTAGAGATAAAATATGGAAACAGGTGAAATTTTACGTAGAATAGAGCTAAGGACAGGCCTAGTCTCCTGCCTGCTGACTTTGAAAATGCCATTTTCCTTCCTGGCCTTCTTTCTCTGTCTGCATCTTGAGGGGGTTGAAATGCAATTAGTGGGGATATCCTCATCTCCCAGAGCCACCCACCTTGTTCTCTTTGGGATGAGAGTAAGCACAGTCACATTTAGTAAATGAATGAGCAAGAATACCTTCACCTCCATCACCCTTTCTACTCAAGTCCCATCAAAATAATAATAATAATAATAATAATAATAATAATAATAACCCTTCAAAAGATCACTGTGAAGAACTCCATACCAGGTAGGTACAGAACATATTCAAAAATCTATAACTATGTGTATTTGTAACTCTGTAGCAAAATTACCTGAAATTTTGTGGCTTAAAACAGAGAAATTTATTTTCTCATGGTTCTGGAGGTGAGAAATCTCAACATGCCACAGGGCCATGTTCCCTCTAGTCTCTAAACAACAATCCTTTCTGATCTTTTTCAATTTTTAATGGCCCTATGTTTTCCCAGGTTTAGGACAGTGTCACTCCAAACTCCACCTCCAATCTTCACATAGCCTCCTCCTTATTCTGTGTCCTCTCCTCTTCTTGAAGGGACACTTGACATTAGATTTAGAGCCCATTCAGATAATACAGCATGATCATCATGATCTCATCTTGAGATCCTTAATTACATGTGCAAGGATCTTTTTCCAAATACAGTTAGATTCACTCATTCTGAGACAAACCCACAGAATACAGTTACTCATACTAGACAAAGGTGCCAAAAACATACATTGGAGAAAAGATAGCCTCTTCAAAAAATGGTGTTGGGAAAACTAGAAATCCATATGATGCAAGATGTAATTAAACTCCTCTCTCCCTGCACAAAACTCAACTCAAAGTGGGCCAAGGACTTAGGCTTTATAACAGAGACCCTACACCTAATAGAAGAAAAAAGGAGACTGAAATCTATGTCAGCTTAGGAACTGAGTTCCTTATCAAGACTCCTAAAGCACAAGGAGTAAAATCAAGAATTAATAAATGGGATGGAATCAAACTAAAAACCTTCATCACAGCAAAGCAAACAATCAAGCACATGAAGAGAGAGCCTACAAAATCAGAAAAACTCTTTACTTGCACCTGCACCTCAAATACAGCATTATTCTCCAGGATACATAAAGAACTCAACAAACTCAACAACAACAACAACAAAAATAACCCAATGAAGAAATAAGCATCCAGCAGCTAGAGAGGCTGGGATGGGAAGATCACAAGTTCAAAGCCCAGCCTCAGTAACCGCAAGGTGCTAAGCAACTCAGTGAGACCCTATCTTTAAAGAAAATATAAAATAGGTATGGGGATGTGGCTCAGTGGTTGAGTGCCCCTGAGTTCAATTCCCAGTATCAAAAAAAAAAAAAGGAAATAATCAAAGGAACTAAACAGATACTTCACAAAAGAAGAAGTATGATCAGATAAAAAATATGAGAAAATGTTCAACATCTCTAGCAATTAGAGAAATGCAAACTAAACTAAAACCATACAAGTAACAGCAAATGTTTGCAAGGATGTGGGAAAACAAGTACACTCATACATTGCTGGAGGGACTACAAATTGGTGCAACCACTCTGGAAAGCAGTATGGAGATTCCTTAGAAAAGTTGAAATGGAACTACCATTTGATCCAGTTATCCACTTCTTGGCTTATACCCAAAGGACTTAAAATCAGACTACTACAGTGACACAGTCACATCAATGTTTATAGCAGATCAGTTCACAATAGCCAAACTATGGAGCCAATCTAGGTGCTCTTCAACAGATAAATGAATAAATATGCGGTATATATACACAATGGAATATTAATAAGCAATAAAGAAGTATGAAATTATGGCATCTGCTGGTAAATGGATAGAACTGGAGAATATCATGCTAAGTGAAGTAAGCCAGTCCCCAAAATCTAAAGGTCAAGGCTTCTCTCTGTTATGTAGATGCTAACCCATAATCAGGTACAGTAGGCACAGGAAGTATAGAAGTTCACTGGATTAGGCAAAGGGAAATGAAGGGAAGAGAGGGGAGATGGGGAAAGGAAAGGCAGTAGAATGAAGCACACATTACTTTCCCATGCTAATATACGAATACACGACCAGTGTAACTCCACATCATGTTCAACCACAAGAATGGGATCAAAATTATAATGGGTTGTACCCCAAGTATGTATGGTATGTCAAAATACAGTTGACTGTCCTGCATCTCTAAAAACAAACAAACGCTGAAAGTGAGATGTTGAGGATTGAAGGTCAGTAGTCACCTGGTAAGACCAATCCCAGCAGTTCACACTGTGCTTTATTCTGTTCACCAAATAGGTCTTAGACCTGGGAAGTCTTCTTGTCATACCTCACAGGATGGCTCCACCTTAAGCCAAAATGTGTTTGAATTTTGTTATTTCATAGGCCCAACTTAGTTTTCCATAAAGCAAAATCAACATTCATCTTATGGTGTACTTCAGTTTGTTATTGTAGTTCCCTCTTATCAAAAATTTCAATTTCTGTGGTTTCACTAAAATGTGGTCCAAAAACAGTAAATTTAAAACTACAGAAAAAAAACCACTGTGTAAGTTTTAAATTTTTCACAATTCTTAATACAATGATCAGGTATTAAGATTAGGTAGCATCATTCTCTATCATGACTATGCCGTGAATCATCCCTTTGTCCTATGATGCAGGACGTGTAGTCGACCCACACATTAGTTCCTAAACAGCCATCTGGTCATGAGGTAAACTGTGGTGGTTTGCACTGCTTGTACATGGAGTTCAATTCTATCTGTAATTTCAGGTTTCTACATAGGATATTGAAAGGGATCCAATTCACATTGAAGTCTTTCTCTTGGAACCAAAGAAGAATTGGAACATGGCTTTGAGAAACATTTCTTTTTCCTAGGCTTCTCTGATCTCTCTCAGCTATAGAGACATTGGGTTTTTTTTCATCTCTACTTTTCAACATAAACCAGTTCCTCCACTGAGTACCCTGAAACTTCCTGCCTTTTGCCCCATTGCAAACTCTGTGGAAAAGAGCATTTACTCACATAGCTCCCTCTTCCTAATACGCTGCATGCCACACTGGAATCTCTCCTCTAGAACACTATGATCCCCCAACATGGCTCCAGCATCAGTTCTGACTTTCTCCCCATACATTGATTAATTTGAGTCTCTGCTCTCCTGTGCTCATCAGAGGTAGTTGGACAGTTTGTGTGTTCCTCCTCTGGCTTCTGCTCTGGATCCTACTGGGTTGTTTTAGTGTTTCGGGGTGACAATTCTCTACTGAAAAAGAAAAGGGTGACAAGTATCTTTTATAAACATATTATTAATTTGCTCTCATAAGAGTGACCTCCAATACTTGTGGCAGCTCTAGCTCCAGCTCCATCACCATCCTGAGAACCAGAGGAGCCGTTGCCAGAAACTCCTTCACCACCAGCTCCAGATCTCAGGTACTAGAGGCTCAACAGCCAGTGCCAGCTCCTGAGCTGCACCTTGGACCTGCTATGCCCAGAGCAGCCCTTCACCTCCCTTACCATTTCACTTGTTTTCCTATTAGTTTTGGTTATTTTTTATTTGCTGATGATTAATTTTAAATAAAATTTAGTAGTTTACTCATTTGAAATATTTAGTTCAATGCAATTAGGTGCATGTTCAATGTTGTATAACCATCACCATTGTCTAGTTCCAGAATATTTTCCTCAATCCTGTCCCCGCTCATTGTCCTGGTTGGCCCCAGCAGCCACTCATCATTCTATCCATGTGTTGCAGATTTGTAATCAACAGATAGTTGCCGGACATCTGCTCTCTGCATCACTGTGGGGACGGAGGCAGATGCAGGGCACTGTGCCACGTCACTTCTCACCCCTCCACCAAATCAGAGACTCCTGGACTCTACCTGATGTTTCCTGCCAACCTTACCAACTTTCAGGTTGGCCTTATAGTGTCCTTGCCTCCCATTTCAAGAAACGGAAGATACATTGTCCCCATCATGCTTTAAAGAAGACTGAAATTATGGCAATAATAAGACAATCCCTCAAAATACAAAGGCCAAATGTTTTTTCTAACATGTGGATGCTAATTGACAATAAAGTGGGGGGCACTAGAGAAGAACATCATTACCTTAGACTAGGTAGAGGGAAATGAAGAAAGGAGAGTGGAGGGGATATAGGAATAGGAAAGACAGTAGAATGAAACAGACATTATTACTGTATTATATATGTGACTACATGATTAATATGATTCTGCAATATATACTCAGAAAAATGAGAAATTATATCCCATCTATGTATGATATATCAAAGTGCATAAATGTCATGTATAACTAATTAAAACAAATTAAAAATTAATTAAAAAAGAAAAGGTAAGCCTCGGTTAGATGGAACGTTCACATCATGTGGATGTCTTTCTCTGTATGTGCTTATATTTCTAATTTCATAGTCAGGCATGGCCTAACAATGGGGACTCTTTATGAGAAATGTATCAGTAGGTGATATCGTCCTCTGAGATCACTATAGAGTGTACTTGTACAGGGGAAGAAGGCTATGATGTCACCAGGCAGTATACTCTCAGGGGACCCCCATCTTATATGCAGCCCATCGCTGACTGTGAGGTTGGTATGTGTTGCATGCTTGTACATCCATAGGTCTTTGCCTCTGGACTGAGCCTTCAGATGCTGGCAGGTTGGATTTCTCTTTTTTCCTCCCCACCCTTCCATCTCACTGTGCTCCCTAACACCATTCTGCACTCATCACTACCTAGTGGATCATCCCAGTTCCCTCCATTAAAAGGCCGCCTCCAGTAGAATGAGACAGACATTATTACTCTACATACATGTAGGATATAGTCAACTACTGGTGTGACCCTGCATGATGTACAGCCAGAGGAATAAGAAGTTGTGCTGCATTCATATACAGTGTGTCAAAATGCATTCTACTGGCATATACAACTAATTAGAACAACAACAACAAAATCCACACCTGGATCTTCTCTGGAACCCTCCAGCAGGCTAGGGCTCCTTCACATACATTCTTCCAGATGACACACCAGTTGTGGGAGCTGGTGACTTAGGAGGATGACTGCCAGAGGGTAAGAGGGAGTGGGGACAGGGACGCTGAACTTGGCTTCTCCCTGCTGCACATCACTTCTGATGTAGGTGGATCCCTCCTGGACACCATCCAATCCCTGCCAACAGCAGGTGGGGTCCTGGCTACCAACTCTTTAATGCCCAATAGTGAGCAGCAAGAGGACACTAAGTTTTAGCAAATAGTCATCTCCAGTCATACCTCTCAGTATCCAAGTGGGATAGGTCACAGAACCCCTTGAATACCAAAATCACCATATGCTCTACTCCCTTAAAAAATTGTGTAGAATTTGCATGTAACCTCCACAGTCTTCCTTCCAGATACTTTAAATCAAACTGAGATTCTTTAAGATGTAAATGCTTTGAAATGGTTGTCAAGGTCTTTTTTAGGGAAAAATGACAAGGAAAAAAGTCTTTAAGTATTCAGTAATGAAGTGAATATTTTTTCAAACATTTCCATCTGAGGGTGGTTGAGTCTGTGGATGCAGAAGCTGAGCCTACAGAAGGCTGACTACTGATTACAGAGTCTTCTCTAGAAAGGCACAAAATGGGCAGAACTGGACCCAGAGGCACCTTCTGGGGAAATGAAGAATAGAACCTTCATCTCTCTCTAACTGTTGCCAGTCATAGTGACTTGTGTCCAAGAAGCTGAGGGTTTGCAACCCCAGAAGGTGAGAGGGAGCTAGAGGAAATCTTCCCCCAACGATGCTGTGGAGGTCCCCAATCCTCACTGCATCCCTCAAACTTCCCTGCGGTCAGGAACGATGGAAAACATGCCCTAGTTTTCAAGAAGCCACCACTGAGTTAAGACAAGGGCAGCCCACTAGGGCAGAAAGCAGGGCTGGAGGATGGAGGGGCAGGGCCAGAGCCCTTCCCACCAGGTCAGCTGTTGGGTAGGACAGCAAAGTGCAGGTTACTGTCAGCTATTCATCAGCCCACTCAGACCAGCCGGAGTCCCTCTTTGCTTCCTGGCCCCCACCCAGCTGTACATCCCCCTGGGGACCAGTCCAGGCTCTGGGAGGACCACAGCCACGCACACCAGGAGAATGTGCCAGGACATGCTTTGGTTGGCACTGCTGGTCTGTCTGTGCTTGGGAAGCCCCACCCTGGGTCACAACAAATAACACAAATGCATCCTTATCACACAAGAACTGCACTGAAAAAATGGAAAGAAACTTGTATTACTGTGAAAAAACCACATAAATGAAATTAACAAGCAGAAATGTGATATACATGTCTTAGCTCAGACTTTGGCTCACATTTGCTGGGTTCACTCCCTCCTCAACATCAGCATCTCATGAATATTCCACTATGTGTTGCAATGTTTTTCTCACTGTATAACATATAAAACTAAATAAAACCATGCACAACAAATTGGGAGTTGTCATTATTTTAAAATGGCAGGATCTGGCAGGTGCTGTCTTCTAATGGTGGTCTGTGGGTGCCATTATGGACAGTGACAATGCTGTGGTTTGGGTAAGTGCTCCCAAAGGTCCAAGTGTTGTCACCATTTCAGTCTTGTCACCATACTGAGGTGCCATCATGACCTGGTGGTAGCACTATGAAGGAGTACTAACTGAAAAAATTGGGGCTTCTAGGAGCATTCTACTGAAGGGGATATTGTGACCCCAGCCTCTTTCTTTTTTGCTTCCTGGATTGGCAATGTTAGAGGCTTCCTCTGCCACTTACTCCTGCCACCATGTACTGCAAAATCCAAAAGATCAACCGACCATGGGCTGAAACCTCTGAAATGATGAACCAAAATCAACCTTTACTCTTGTTAAATTGATTTATGTCAGTATTTGTCAGAGTAATGAAAAGCTGACTAACAAGGCCAATAATGCCAAGGGCTCAGCAGATGACAGGGAAAAAATTTAAAAAATGGGTCTTATCATACTCACTCTTCTGCATCTTTGGATGTCCCTCCAGGGTGTGGAATCCCTCCAATGCAGCTGGACAGCTTTAATCCATTCCTTCTCCATTGACTGACACGAATGCTAATAATGTGTAACATGAACACCACCTAAATGTTCCCTGTTGATAAAAGAACAATTTGCTAGCAGTTTTGACACAATGTTCCATAAACACCCTGGAACTTCCTGATGTTTTAATTTCTATGTAAGGTTTCCTAGGAATATTTGCATTTTTAATTTTCCTGGATGCTCTCAGGTGCTTTCCACTTAGGCTGCTCCTGTGAGGATATCGTAGGTGCAGATGGCGGGTGGGTGCACAGTGCTGACTGGTGTGTCTTCAGTCATCCTTCCCTGCCTGGGGGAACTGGGGTCTTCCCCATGCATGCTCTGGATCTGCACTTAGGTCTCCTTTCTCATGCCTCATCTTCTCTATGTCTTCTACTCCCTCTTCCTTTGCAAGGAAAGTGCCACTCGTGATAAGCCCATTATGTCTGAATGAGGCACATTTAAAAAGACTTGCAAAGTCCCAGATGGCTTTTACAATCTTTATTTTGCCAAACTTTTAAATAGGCCCATAAGATTAAGCTTGGCTATGGTCTCTGTCTCTAGAATGGGGGTGAAGTATTTGGAGAAGTCAAATATCAGTTGTGTGGTCATTATTCCCCTGCCCTCTGTCCCAGCTTAATTCTAATGAGAAGTCCTCTTTCTGGGATAGTTAAGGAGGAAAGATGGTGCATAACCAAGTACCCAGGAAATGCTCTGAACTTCTTTGCAGTCAGCCAGCAGTGTGAGCACAGGGATGGATGGTGTAGTATCAGCTCCTATGCTCACAGCCTCATATGCACAGCAGGTGTATCAGTCAGCATTCTTGGTGGCAAGTTACAGAAACCTGAATTATCTGCTCATCTTCCCTTGGGTCGAGTGAGGTGTTTCCCCAATAAGGAAGAAATAAGAAAATGTGAACTTTGTCCTGTGAGTATGGACCAGAGAGTGGACCATACACTATGCTAAATATTGCCCATACATTAAAAACCATGAGGTAGGAACTATTAATATTTTCAGTTTACAGACGAGTTTGGCAGGTAAGACTGCTAAAATTGAAGTCTGTGGTTTAGTGATTTTGCCTTGAACAACTATATGTGTCAGCAGGTCATATTAAATGCTGCAGCATGTGGTTGTATAGAATGCATGTATGTCATTTCTGGAGAGATCCTTAGACAAGTTCCCTGTGGCTTTCGGAGGTGGGATAAGTCTGGATGTGGCAGATTGAGAGCAATGGGCTGTGTCTCTGAAGATATGAGTTCTTGGGTTTGGTCCTTATTTGCTATGTGGCCTGTCATATCTAAGTTTTAGTTTCTTCACCTTTTAAGGAATGGGTTAAATTTACCAACTGAGATGAAATGCACAAATTCCTCAAAATTTACAACTCAAAATGAACAGAAGAAGAAATAGAAAATCTAAATATCCTTGCGTCTGTTTAAGAAATTGAATTTGGTAGGGTTGTGGCTCAGTGGTACGGCACTTGCCTAGCACATGTGAGGCACTGAGTTTGATCCTCAGCACCACATAAAATAAATGAATAAAACAAAGGCATTGTGTCCATCCACAACTAAAAACATTTAAAAAATTGAATTCATCATTTAAAACCTCTTATCTCCTCTTCTTCACAACTACAGGCATATTTCATCAAATACTTAAGGACTAAATAATGCCAATATTATACAAACTCAGAAAATAAAGAAGAGAATTGCTTGCAACTCATTAGGTCAACATAATGCTGTTAGAAAATCTGAAAAGGACATTAGAAAAAAGGAAATCAATAGAACAATGTCTCTAACATAGACATAGAATTCTTAACAAAATGTTATCAAATAGAATTTATCAATACTCAAAAACATAAATGAGTTGACATTGGAACAGTTAGGTAATTACCTTCCACTGTCCCGTATCAAACCCTTGACAGACATCACTAATCAATTGCTCTGTTGTTTTATCTTCCAAACTGAATCATTCTCAGTCTCACTCTCAGGTAGCTTGTATCAAGATACTCTGATTCTGTTATCTTGTTGAAAATCTGAGGTCATTTTACAAGCAAGCCTTTCCCTCAAGTGGGGTGAATTCTTCCAGATTAGACATGGAAGAGCAAGACAAGGAAAGGGAGTTGAGAGCAAGAATGGGTTGTTTTGAGCAATCCATAGGAAGGAAGAAGCCATACAATATTAAATGCCTAAAAGGAGCCTAACCTTATTTGTTCTCATTTATTGCTCTATGGCCAGCCCCCAAGGACAAAATGTGACACATGAACTTGCAAGACTGGGGAGTGAATGAATGACTTCTGAGGGAAACTAAAAGTGGTTCCGTCTTCATAGTGTTATGGTTACTGCCTTTGAGTCAAGGAGACCCAGCCATGAGTGATGAGACAAGAGATTGGGGTCCATCCCAAGGGCTTCCATGAGAGATTTATGCATCTATAGACCAATTATTCTTAGCTGAGTAACCATAGTAGCCTTGTCTCTCCTTGGGATCGTGGGCACCCATATCCGTTCACTCTGTTGATATTTGCCTGGCTGCCTCAATCGTTTCTTAAGCTCCTATTCTGTTTTAGAATGTATTGTCTTCCTGCTCTCCTTCCTCCCACCTGGTCTTTCTCCAGTGTTTGCTATCTCAGTGAAACCAACAACCTCCCATGCAGTTATACAGGCCAGAAATGTAGATGGCAGCCTGCGTGTATCTCTCTCCACTTCCTAATTAGTTCTCAGACATTCTACATTTTTCTGTCTTCATCACCACCATCCTGCTCTGAGTTCCCCTCATTCCTTGCTTGGAAGTTTGCAAATGTGCTGACAGCTCTCTCTGCACCCACTCCACACCCTTGCCCATGTGCATCCTCCAGTTGCACCTGAGTGATCTGGCCAAAATGCAAAGTAGTTGATTGACACCCTGCTTAAAGCCTGCTGGTGGCATCTCACTGTTCCTAAGAGGAAGAACAAACCCTCCCAGCTGCTCTACAAATCCTTGGGGATCTGGTCGCTGCTGTCTTCAGCTGCATCACATGCCTCTCACTCCTGACTGTCTGTGTGTTCATCTCACTGAGCATTTAGATCCTCCAACAGCATGTTCTTACCCACTCTCTGTCTAGGACTCTCTTCTGCCTCCTATTTATCTGATTATAATTCCTTCAGAATTCTTGTTACTTTCTTGGGAAAGACATCTCTAACCTTCATCTCCACTCCTTTCCCAACAGGTTGTGGTAGACTCTCAAAGAAGGAGGCTGAGGCAGGAAGATTTCAGGTCAGCAACTTAGGAGACCCTATCTCAAAATTAAAAGAAAAAAAAAAGAGAAAGAAAAAGGACTAGGTAGGTAGCTTAGTGACAGAACACCATTGGGTTCAATCCCTAGTATTGCAGGGGCAGGACCATATCGCATACTATGGTCCATGGATGAAATTTTGCCCTCTGCCTATTGTATAAATAAAGTTTTATTGGAACACAGTCATGTTCATTCATTTACTTGTTGTCCTTGGCTGCCTTTGCATTACAGGGACATAGGAGAGTAGTTGCAATGGAGACCATATGGCTTGCAAATCTTGAAATATTTACTAGTTGGCCCTTCACAAAACAAAGTTTCTCAAGACCTGGGTTTGAGTCCCAGCTCCAACACTGACTTGCTGCATGACATTGAGAAAGTCATGTTTCCTCTCTGGGCTTCATCTCATCAATCAAATGGAAAGAGTAACAGGAACCATCTCACCTAATTGTTTCATGTGATTGCTTTGCGCATTGCCTGGCATATAGAGTATGCTTAATAAACAATAGCTATTTTTTTGGTGTTAAATTGATTATTCATTGATTAACGCATTAAACAAATATGCACTTGCCGTGTACCAGATGGTCATATGTGAATCCCCGATTGGACCAATATTAAATCCTTACCCTGGAGGAATTTACTTATGAGTGGGGAGAAGAGATAATAAAAAAATCATAACTATTATTAGTAGTACTATAAACAGGGAATGCCACTACTAGTGGTAAAAGGAAACCACTCTGTGGACCTAAGACAAAAATAGGTACGTCTTTGGGGCTTGGCAGTAAGTTTTCTTCCTTCTCGCAGATACCCTGGCAGCTCCTAAGAAAACGTGTTCATCTTGGATGCAGCTGACAGAGGTGGCATGGATGGGGCTGAGCTGGTGGAGAGACCGGATTTCTCAAACCCAGGTTTCTACACCAAATTATTGAAAAGGAAACCTTATCAAGCAGCCTTCCAGCTTGTTGTCATCCATCTTCCAAAGAATTCAGTAGCCCTTGGTGGTTGATGATTTACGGGACAGTGGCCACGAGGAGGTTGCTTTTTGTATTAATCTGTATTTTATCAAAGATCAGCAACCTGCTGGCTGGGGCCAGAAGCAGCAGGCTCTTTGTGGAATCCCATTAACCCCAGTCTTGGCTGCAGCCAGCTCTAGACTAGCAGAGGACTGCTGGCCACTTGGGCAGATGAAAGACTTTGATCATTCTAAGTTGGGAGTTCTAGCTGTTGAAAGAACAGCTACCCTTTCTTAATGGCAGCAGGGTTCTGTCTTCTCTAGAAAGATGATTTTAAGCCTCCAAGCCTAAATTTGATTAATGTCACAGTTGTTTAAGGTTGAGGGGGGTCATCCATGCTTTGCCAATGAAAAGGCAAAGCTTATAGATGGTTCCTTATCTTATGCCTAGACTGAGTAAGCCAAGGCCAATGCCTGGGTCACTTGTAAGGAAACCTTGGGTGTCTGTTGTCTCAGATGTCCTGGTTTTAGCTTTTGTGTTCTGGGCATGCCAAGGCAATCCTCATGAAGCCAGGACTTTGTTCTCTCATGTATGACTTCATTTGCAGCACCTAGTACTGGGCCTGGCACCCAGTAGGTGCACAATAAATAGGTTGAACAAATTGAAATGTGCCTGGACCTTTGCATATGTTGTTGTCTAGTCCTGAAATGGTCTTCCCATCCTGATGCTATTCCAGTTGTCCTTAAGGTCATAGCTTAAAAGTCATCTTGAGCCAGTCAATGTCTAAACTGGAAAATAGAAATTATGACAGTTAATTTAATACAGGAAATGGCTAGATACATACTGAAAGATGAAAGAGAAAAGAGAGAACACTGCCTGTTGTGTAAATAAAGTTTTATTGGAACACAGTCATGTTCATTCATTTACTTGTTGTCCAGTTACATAGTAACTGCTCTGGATTAGCTCACACTTCTGCATAACAGACCACCCCAAAACTAGCTTCTTAACCCAGCCAACCTTCATTATCCTATTTTCTGTTGGCCTGGAAGCTGGGCAAGTCTTCATCCTCTGCCTAAGGATGCTTCATAAATCGACCACTGGGTGTCAGCTGAGGCTTTGGTCTCATCCAAGGTCCCACCTGAGGAAGGATCTGCTTCCAATCTCACTCGAGTGGTCATTGGCAGTCTCTTGTAGGCTCCTTGGACTGGAGACTTTAGTTTATCATTGTCATTGGCTGGAGGACCCCCTCGGTTCCTTGCCTGGTGGGCGTCTTTCTGGGACAGTTCACAACAATGTACCATGTTCATCAGAGCATGTGAGCAAGAGAAAAGCCATGACCAGGGCCACAGTGTCATTACTGAGTCTCAGAAGTCACTTCACCCCTGCTAGTAGGAGTGAGTCAGAAAGTCCGTCCCACCACTCCAGGAATGAGGGTCACACATAGACATGAACCAGGGTGGAGGGCCAAGCCCATTCCAGAGGCTAGCCCTGATGGGCAGAAAGAAGCTAATTACACCACAGGGCTGGAAGGATGGCAGCGAGGTTAGAGTTTTAGGAGGAGGGTTTGAGGAGGGTCCCCACTGAGTGTGACCCTGGCCAGCTGATACTGGGTACCGTGAGGCTGTTTCTAGGAATGTGAGGAGAACACCTGGAAACAGGAACTAATTACTCTTTCTGAAACCATTCGGTGCTGCCTGGGGTACCAGGAGAGCCACCAGTAGTAACAGCAACAGGGTGTCGGCTTGAGCTTCTATGATGGCTTGAATCACATCTCATCAGAGTTCACGTGAAGTGCCTTAGGATGTGACAACATTTGGAAACAGTCAATGCCGATACGGTTAGCTAAGAGGTGGATTTGGGAGGACCCAATCCAATACAGTGGGTGTCTTTCCATAAAGGAAAAACTTGGACAGAAACACACATGGAGAGAAGGACATGGGAACAGGAAGTCAGAGATCAGGGTGGCATTTCTACCAGCCCAGGATGCCAAGGGTTTCCAGCAGCCCTTGAGAAGCAAGGAAAGAGGTTTAGGACAGATTCTGTTCCTCATTCCTCTGAAGAAACAACCCTTGGGACACTTTGATCTTGGATTTCCAGTCTCCAGAATTGAGACAATAGAGTTCTGTAGTTAAAGCCCCCCACCAGCCTGTGGTACATAGTTGCCCCTTATCCATGATTTTGCTTTCCGTGAGTTCTCATAACCATGTCAACCATGGTCTGAACAATCCAGAAACAGGGTTTGTAAGTTTTGAATAACTTTGAGTACAGTATACTATTAAAATTGTTCTATTTTATTGTTATTGTTAACCTTGTAATCTTATTGTGCCTCGTTTATAAATTAAACTTTATCATAGGTAGGGTATATATTTTAAAAAAAAACCCAAACCTACACAGGGTTTGGTACTGTCCATGGTTTCGAGCATCCTTGGGGCTTTGATGGCATTCCATATGGTAATGGGGGCGGGGAGGCTACTGCACATTGCTATGCTCTGGGAAGCTAACACAGCCTCCTTCAGCCTTGAGGTCATCTCTGGAACCTTTTGTCTTACAGAACTACCATGGATGCTGGCTGTAGAGTCTCAGTCCAGCACGGCCATGTAGGACTTAGAAGGGTGGGTGGACACTGAGCCAGGGTTGTGTGAAGGCCAGCACATGTGTCTTTGGGGAAGGTCTTTGGTGACCTCCTCCACCCCCTCCACACAGGCCCTGTTGGGTCTCCACCTTTCTCTATGTCCATTTAGTCCCATGCACCACCTTCTCTCAGGCACTTACCATATCTCTTTGGTTGATTATCTCCTCCTCAAGGCCATGTATGAGCCTCATGAGGGCAGGTGCTCTCACTGTCTCCAATGTTAAGTGTGGTTTTTGGCACACAGAAGGTGGTTAGTTAATGGTCTTTGCATTGAATGAACAAATGCTGGTAGAAGCAGAGAAGGAGATGCTCCAAGACAGGGAGGTTGGGTTGAACCAGTTTGAACAGCCGTCACATCATATATGTGTCTCATTCAGTCCTGAAACTAACCCTGCATGCATGTACTTTTATGTTCATTTTGCTTATGAGAAAACTGGAGATCAAAGAGAGAAAATGACTTGCCCAAAGTCATCTAGATGACAAGTGGCAGAGCCTGGACTCAACCTCCTTTCAACTATCTAGTCTCCTTTTCTCTCACAGTTTTAGAGCCATCATGCATTAAGAACTTACATATCCCAGGAACTGGGTTGGATGCTATCAGCATGTCCCTGTCTCTGTTCACATTTTTATTAGCTATATCATCATTTGACCTTGTCATAGAGCACACAGTGCTGGCACAGAGCTGGAAACCAAATGGAACATTCCACCCAGATCCCACTCCACTGTGTAGCCAGACAGCTGAAATCCAACCAACGTGCCTCCACTATGAGTATTAATAGATTGTTGATAGATCTGATGGTTTCTTTAATTGATGGCTTCTGCCATTATTAAGGAAGAGACTTTTTACAAGGCTCACAACAATTATTAATCTTGGAAACAAGAGTGTAGATACAAATGTTATTTGTCCTTTTGCCAAGATAAATAAGCACATATGCTTTTAGTCAAAGTTGTAAGAATTTCTTTAGCAAATATTTCAGGACCTCTTGCATTTCTGATCCAGAAAAACTGTAAGCCTATAAATGTTTGTGGTTTTTATATGCTTTGTTTGGGATAATTTTTCAAATACTAGCATTCACGGGTATGTTTGGCAAAACCAAATAGACAAAGGGAAAACCATGTGTTCAAGAGCAGATGCTTTTCTTCCCTAAACCCCAAGATGAAGAGGAGGAAATGGAGTCTTTCAGGGGTGCTAGGCACTGGTGTTTTGTTACCAGACCATGCCTGTCATGCCTTCTCACAGTACGCCCTTCCTAGAGACAAAGCATTTTGCAAAAAAGAAATAACTTTCTCACAAGGTTGCCAAGTGTGAAGATGGGAGTCTCAGATGTCAAATCTGCCTCCCTGAGGCTAGGCTTGAGGGTCATTTATGGGATGAAGGAGCAGGTGGCAGTGATTGGCGGTGAAGCAGTCAGTGGTCTGTGCATGCACAGTCTACACTGGTGGCTCTTCATGAGTCATATTTTTGGAACAGGGTGGTGTCAGCTTGAGGTGAAGGTGAAGTTTTTAGGCTTCTGACATCAAAGTCACCTGTTAGATACTTTCAGGTCCAAATGAAGAGTCAATGGTTTTGACAGAGGTGTCCTTCACATCCCTGGTAAGTGACCTACTTATGGTTAAGACTCACACACTGGAGAGTCTTAACACATTGCTCAGCTGGTGGACATCCCAAAGGAGTGATTTTTAAGTGAACTAAAAGCTAGTAACTCAAAGCATATAAAACTGGAGGGTTTATTTGAGGTTTTCTTGGAGCCTCTGTGTGGTCTTTCATCTGCTGTGTCCCAAAAGGAGATGGGAGAGAATCCCCTCCTTCCCTTGTATGGGGTGGAGAAGCGGAGGGTGGTGGAGGCCTTTGTGAACACAGCATATTCCTAGACTTGCTCAAAACCAAATCTCTGTGATGAAGGAAGTAAAATGCTTTGACTCTAAGACACTCAGACTCCCATGGTCAATATCACTAAGGAGGATATTGCACACTGAATAAAACCGACCATGCAGGGGATTCAGTTTCATTTTGTTGCATATGGATGGAAGGAGACCCTCATTGTTATACAAAATTACATATAAGAGGTTGTGAGGGGAATGGGAAAATAAACAAGGAGAGAAATGAATTACAGTAGATGGGGTAGAGAGAGAAGATGGGAGGGGAGGGGAGGGGGGATAGTTGAGGATAGGAAAGGTAGCAGAATACAACAGTTACTAATATGGCATTATGTAAAAATGTGGATGTATAACCGATGTGATTCTGCAATCTGTATTTGGGGTAAAAATGGGAGTTCATAACCCACTTGAATCTAATGTATGAAATATGATATGTCAAGAGCTTTGTAATGTTTTGAACAACCAATAAGAAAAAAAACAGACCATGCTTCAACCTTCATGTGATAATACTGATCACTTAAAAAGTATTGAGGGATACATACTTTTAAAATATTTTACTGTGCATTATTTGATCCAGGATGCTTGAAAAAGCATAAATAGGGATTCCTAAGTAAGTCTTTAAGGCACAGAACCTATGATAAATATCTTGTAATGTGGACAAGATACCAAGTCACTTACATCAAATATATTTGATTAAAAATACTTTGATTAAACCAAAAATAAATGTTGATAAATGAATTTGGAACATTGTATGATGTGTTTTTATTTTATTTTTAAATGTTTGGTTGTTTGGGTTGAACTCAGGGGTGTTTTACCTCTGCACTATATCCTTGGTATATAGTTTGTTTATTTTTTTATTTATGAGGCAGGCTCTCACTAAGTTGCCAGTGCTGGCTTAAAACTTGCTATCTGTCTGAGTTAGACTCCTGTGTCACCTGGAGTACAGGTGTGTGACCTAATGCCCTGCTAATGTTTTGTTTTTGATACCGGGTTAAACTCAGAGGCACTCAACCATTAAGCCACGTCCTCACATTTTTTGTATTTTATCTAGAGACAGGGTCTCACTGAGTTGCTTAGGGCCTCACTTATGTTTTTTTTTTTAATTTTTTATTGTTGGCTGTTCAAAACATTACATAGTTCTTGATATATCATATTTCACAATTTGATTCAAGTGGGTTATGAGCTCCCATTTTTACCCCATATACAGATTGCAGTATCACATCAGTTACACATCCATTGATTTACATATTGCCATACTAGTGTCTGTTGTATTCTGCTGCCTTTCCTATCCTCTACTATCCCCCTTCCCCTCCCCTCCCCTCCCCTCCCCTCTTCTCTCTCTGCCCCCTCTACTGACATTCGTTTGTCCCCCTTATATTATTTTTCCCCTTCCCCTCACTTCCTCTTGTATGTACTTTTGTATAACTCTGAGGGTCTCCTTCCATTTCCATGCATTTTCCCTTCTCTCTCCCTTTCCCTCCCACCTCTCATCCCTGTTTAATGTTAATCTTCTTCTCATGCTCTTCGACCCTACTCTGTTCTTAGTTACTCTCCTTATATCAAAGAAGACATTTGGCATTTGTTTTTTAGGGATTGGCTAGCTTCACTTAGCATAATCTGCTCTAATGCCATCCATTTCCCTGTAAATTCTATGATTTTGTCATTTTTTAATGCAGAGTAATACTCCATTGTGTATAAATGCCACATTTTTTTTATCCATTCATCCATTGAAGGGCATCTAGGTTGGTTCCACAGTCTAGCTATTGTGAATTGTGCTGCTATGAACATCGATGTAGCAGTGTCCCTGTAGCATGCTCTTTTTAGGTCTTTAGGGAATAGACCGAGAAGGGGAATAGCTGGGTCAAATGGTGGCTCCATTCCCAGCTTTCCAAGAAATCTCCATACTGCTTTCCAAATTGGCTGCACCAATTTGCAGTCCCACCAGCAATGTACAAGTGTACCCTTTTCCCCACATCCTCGCCAGCACTTGTTGTTGTTTGACTTCCTAATGGCTGCCAATCTAACTGGAGTGAGATGGTATCTTAGGGTGGTTTTGATTTGCATTTCTCTGAGTGCTAGAGATGGTGAGCATTTTTTCATGTACTTGTTGATTGATTGTATGTCCTCCTCTGAGAAGTGTCTGTTCAGGTCCTTGGCCGATTTGTTGATTGGGTTGTTTGTTATCTTATTGTCTAATTTTTTGAGTTCTTTGTATACTCTGGATATTAGGGCTCTATCTGAAGTGTGAGGAGTAAAGATTTGTTCCCAGGATGTAGGCTCTCTATTTACCCCTCTTATTGTGTCTTTTGCTGAGAAAAAACTTTTTAGTTTGAGTAAGTCCCATTTGTTGATTCTAGTTATTAACTTTTGTGCTATGGGTGTCCTATTGAGGAATTTGGAGCCCGACCCCACAGTATGTAGATCGTAGCCAACTTTTTCTTCTATCAGACGGCGTGTCTCTGATTTGATATCAAGCTCCTTGATCCATTTTGAATTCACTTTTGTGCATGGCGAGAGAAAGGGATTCAGTTTCATTTTGTTGCATATGGATTTCCAGTTTTCCCAGCACCATTTGTTGAAGATGCTATCCTTCCTCCATTGCATGCTTTTAGCCCCTTTATCAAATATAAGGTAGTCACTTATGTATTTTTAAACCACAGAAATAAAGGCCTCTATGTGCTTGTGTACTTTTGCTGACAATCAAGGAGCTCTACACTCTTCATGTCATTTTCTCATGTGGCCAGCAGGGGGGCAGTGCCTGACTTCCTGCCTCCATGACACTGCCTATTGCAGAAGGTTTGCAAGTTTTGTCATCTAGAGAACACGTTTAATAATGTAGATCATTTGTCTAAAAATACTTATTTGCTTTTATTCTTTATTATGATTTGGAAGCTGATGAATATCTTCTACAAGAAACAAACACATGGTCATCCACTAGCTGGAAGATGTGCCTGTGTCACCCGAAGACATGAAAAATGATGGGTCTACCCCACATCTCTGTTTGCATCTCCCTTCTTTCTCCATCCATCATGTCCAACATCCATGTAAAACATCTCATCACAGTTAGATATTATGTATCACACATTTCTTCTGTCGTGTTGTTCTTTTCATGATGGGAATCTTCACTGGAATGTGATCTACTCCTCAGAGACGGAATGTAACAGAAATGACGAGGTCCTATGACAGGCCATCTGCAAGAGTTCTCATTGGACCTTTGTCAAATGGTAGATCTCATGGTTAGTATGGTGAGGTCTGGCACACACTGTCCACTATCCCCAAAACTCTGAGCTTTCTCTTCCCTGGGAAAGTTTTGCTAAAATCCTTTATGTTATGAAAGAACATCAGGTCAGAATAATGAGATTGGTGAGAGAGAGAAGGTTATGATTTTAATCACCTGTACACAAGAGTTTATCACTCTGCATTGTGTTACGATCCTTGGTGTCCCTCCCAGACAGTGACCTCAGAGCAGAGTCTATGCCTTAGTTCCAATTCTATCTCAAAGAGCAGTTGCTAAATACTGATGAATGAATTAACTTCCTTGAGACCCATGGTCTGACAGTTTGGAGAACCTTATTGGAATTTAGTTAGTGAAGCTATTCTGAGGGATACTCTAATGGTGGATATATGTTTATTACACATTTGTCCAAACCAATATAATACTAAGATTGAGTCCTGTGTAAACTAGTTTACACTAGAGATAATGTTTTTTTTTTCCAATTCACCAATTGTAACAAATACATCAAATTTGGTGAGAGGTGTTGATAATGGGCAAGATTGTATATGTGTGGGGTAGATGGTTTATGGGATATCTCTTTGCCTTCTGCTCAGTGTGAGGAGCCACATTGAGTTACCACGGCTTCCAGTCCTGATGCACCAGGACTGGAAGGGATCTGAAAGATCACTGTAGTCTGGCAAGGAAGTTCCATGACTCGTGACTCGGTCTTTTCCCTCACTCAGATAGCAAGGCCAGTCTTCTGGCATACCCCTGGGGTTGAGCTACACTCACCTATTCTTTTTGTAACCCTACCCCTTTGCCCTGTTTGGGATAGAATGTTCCACAGAAACTCCCTTTGTGTGTCCCCTTCTCTTGCTCTGCCTTTGCGTGTGGCCTTCCTAGATGTCAGGCAACCTGCCAACAGCAGACATCACAATTAGACTCAATCCCCTGAAACCTGACCCTTTATCTCATTTGAATGGATTCTTCCCAATAAGAGGGTTCAGCATGTGATCCCCTCTCTCTTTCCATGGACCCCTAAGGTCAGAGAAGCCACCACAGGACCTAAAGAAAAAGGCATTTCTCTGTCTCTGTGTGATTATTTTGTGCAGCCCAGTTCACCTGGAGTGACCCTGAGTGTTTAGTCATGGAACACAACAGCTCAGTTTTACTGTGAACCCAAAAATGTTCTAGGAAATAAAGTCTATTTTAAAAAATTCTATGGCACAACTAGTTTAAAAGCTAGAAGAATAAAACACAGAAACATCGTAAGGAAACTAAAATTAGAATGACCAAATTGTAATAAAAAAGAACAGAACTGAAGTTGCAAAAATACTCCCAAAGACATTGGACATATCTGAGAAGAGGCCCCCAGAATACAGAGAAAAGATGTAACAGAGGAAACAATGTGAAAGGAGTTTACAGATGCACCGTAGAGACAATCCTCCTCCTCCTCCTCCTCCATTCAGTGATAAATATGCATCACATATAAGGATGTCATTTCAACAGAGCTCTGCAACAAAAACCATGCTGAGAAATACACTAGAAAACTTTCCTAAACTGGGTAAAACAAAACTATGCTCTTATCATTATTTTGATTTCCTCTATTCACCTTCAATTAGTGTGAACTCTTTGATCATGCCAACCTCTTAGTGTAAACACAACTCATTGTGAGAGTGAGGTGAGGTTCAGTGACATAGAGCTCTTGCCTCTCATGTGCAAAGCCCTGGGTTGGCTTCCTGGTACTTCATAGATAGATAGATAGATAGGAAGAAATAATTTCATTGTACCTTGGTTTTCCCTTTTAAAAGACATTGTTTTCTTGATAGATTTAAAAATGTTTATTTTGTCTTCTGTGAACTGCCTTTGCCCTTTTTCAAAAACTTCTCTTTTGTTGACTTAGCAAGATGCTTGGGGAAGTGGGTAAGGTTGGTTATAAAGTCAAAATTGTTGATGGAGATGCTCAGGGTGGAAATCAGTTCCCTTATGCTAATTCATCATTCTTTTTATTTTTGAAAATGGTATGGCTATGCTTTTGTAAAGGAGGCTCATTAAGGTTCTGTGTTCAAACCTCCTAGTTTGAGTAGTCCCCTTCTGCCGTGTTGCACATGACTAAAACACTCGGGGTCACTCCAGGGGAACTTGGCTGCACAAAATAACCATGCAAGAGACAGAAATTCCTTTTTCTTCGGGGGTGCTGTGACGGCTCCTCTGACCTTAAGGGTTCACAGAACGTGTAAGAGAGAGAGAGAGAGAGAGAGAGAGAGAGACCGCACTTGCTGACCCCTCTTATTGAGGAGAAGTCATTCAAATGAGGCAAGAGGTCAGTTTCAAGGGGCTGAGTCTAGCTTTATGATGACTGACATCTAGGAAGTCTACACCCAAGGGCACAGTAAAAGAAGGGGACACACAAAAGGCATTTCCATGGAACACCTATCCCAAACAGGGCAAAGGGTAAACATCACAAAAGAACAGGTGAGCATAGCTCAACCCATGGGGATGTAGGAAGGCACATCCATGCATGAAGACACATTTGCTCGACCCTAAAGATCAGGGCTACCGTCTATGGTTACCTAGGCAACCAGATCACAAAGTGACCGGCAATGCCACACCAATCATAAGGGGAGACAAATGATGGTCACATACTATGTCGGCCTCCCACACCCTTCTCTTCAGTGTGAGCTGGATTTAGTGTCTCTCAGGTGACCTATAGAACATGACAAAAGTTCATGTGGTGTCACCTCCAAGATTTATTTCTGAAATGACTGTGAATAACATCTCATTCTCTCCTCTTCCTTACTTCCTTCCTTCCCTTCTTCCTTCTTTCCTCCTCCTCCTCCTCCTCCTCCTCTTCTTCTTCACTTCTTTCTTCCTTTTTTCTTCTCTTCCTCATCCTTCCTTTTCCTCTTTCTTTGTTTCCTTTTTCTTGCCTCCCTAGGATCTGTGGTTCTGGGGAAGCTGTTGCTCTCTATGTCACTCCCTATGGAGAGGCTCACAAGTCTTATGACAGAGAGGACAATGGAGAGGGCAGAAATGAGGCCTCTGTCCTACCTGAGTCCCACCTGTAGCCATGCGGCAGAGATTGAGAACAGACCTTGCCATAACTAAGCATCAGCTGAGTCTGTGGCCCCAGCCTCATAAGAGATGGTGGAAGCCTCCAGCTGAGGCCTCTTGCATTTCTGATCTAGATAAACTAAGCCTACAAATGTTTGTGGTTTTATATGCTTTGTGTGGGATAATTTTTCAAATACTAGCATGTCACAGGTATGTTTGGCAAAACCCAAGGTTCTAACCCTTCCCTTGCCCATCCCTCCCCTCCTCTTATGTGTCCTCCTCTCATGTGTCTTCCCTCTACCCTCCCCACCCAGGACCCCATTTATCAGCTCTAGGCATCAATGTCACCACAGTAAGGCCTTTTCAGATGGCTCCATGTGGTGACTGCAGCCCTCCCTAAGAGCCCTGTGCTTTCCTTTGATATAACTCTTGGTCTTTTCTTCCAGTTATAATTCTCTAGTGATTTGTCCCTCTTCTTCTCCAGATTAGAGCTCCTGGAAGGCAGAGACCACATTGTTCTTTTTCTTTGCAGTTCGCAGGCCTAACTCAGCACATGGAACAAGGTCAGCACTTGGCGAATAGTGATTGGATAGATGAGAGGATCTGGAAACCTGTTGGAGCAGGTGCCAGTCAGTGAGCAGCTCAGATAGTGGAGATGGATGCTCCTCCTAGGAGGTGCCGTTCTGTGTGGTGGCAGGGAAATGGCCACAGAGCCCTCTGGTGGCTCTTCCTGACTGTGGGTGCTCCAGGAGAGCACAGTGGGCTCAGTCTCCCCTGGGTGGCTAGTGGTCACTGTACACTGTGGAAGAAAAACTGCCACAGGAAACAGGCTTTGCTGCAGTGACATCTAGGCCTCAGTTTAACAAATGCCTGGGGACAAAAATGGGGCCTGAAGGACCAGGGACATTAAAGGGACTTTTCCATTCCTCTACTGGCCACACTCACCTGGGAGTCATTGTCCTCACAAAGCCTTTTCATCACTGCCAGGACAAGGACTTGGGTTCCAGTTCCACATGGGTCCCCGAGACTCCAATAAGGTGGTCTTTCTCCTCCTCCAAGGATGAGTGGTCCCTTAGGGCACCATTCTGCTGTGGCCCACATCTGTCTTCCTGTCTTCTCTGCCCTCTGTTGGCCCTCCAGGGGGCAGAAAGCTTCCACCAAGGGCCAGAGCACAGTGTCACACCAAGGGAAGCTCAGATTGGGGAGCCTGTGGGACCTTGTGATGACCTACTCCAAGCTCCAGACTTTGTAGAGAAGGAAACTGAGGCCCTGGACCATGTTCTCCCCTTCCTGTCTTTTGGGGCTTTATTTGGTTTGTGTTTGGGGCTGTACTGGGTTAGAGCTCAGGGCCTCCACCATGCCAGCAACGCTAGACCACTGAGATACCCCAGAGCCACTCTGTTGCCCCGTGTGATGGTCCAGATTCAGCAGATCCCTGGGGCGGGTAAAGTGGAAGGGCAACAATTAAAAGGGCTAAATGGATCCAGTCAAGGCCAAACGCCTTAAGAGAATGGACCGCCAGACTTCCTATTTCCAATCACCCTCCATTTTTTCTTTGTATACCTTTTGGTCTCATTGTCATTGTACCCGTTGGTCTTGCCATCTTTCCTAGACATACCCGTTTAGAGTGGAAATGCCCCCTGGCAGTGAGTTTTCCCTCTCTTAACAGTTTGCATAGCCATCCTGTGGTCAGGAGCACTTGGTCGGCCACTTTCAGCTTGATCGAAGATTATTTTCTCTCCGGGTCTTGATTAAAATCAAGTCATCAGGCTGGAAGTGATGAATGCAAATTCTAGAATGAGAACCTGTGCAATGGTTTATAATAATCATACCACCAAAAAAAAATATATAGATAGGTCACTTTTGGGGACTTATGAGAAGCCCCTTAGCTTCTCTAGTGTCATCTGCCAGGGTGGGTCAGAGTCTTGCTGACCATATGCAGCTTCCCTTGGAAGCATCAGGGACATTTCATCCAGTGTGCTAGTTTCACCAGTCTTAAAGTAGGAGTACTGGGTTTTATATTTAGTGTATATAACTTTAAAGTTATTTACCCCTTCCATTTCATTGGGGCCAGTATTAGTATTGGAAGTCACCTGTGTGGGAATACCTGCGAGGAGGCACACAAAGAACAGACACAGACACAAATAGTGCCAGCAGACAGGAGGAGCAGAGAGGAGTGAGGTGAAGTGGTGAAGAAGAAGTGCAGAAGTGGGGGGTCTGCCCCTCCCTGCCAGGAGTTTATTCACTCCAAGAACACCTACCTCCTGTTACCATGATGATATTCTAATTAGTATTTCTTTAGCCTGAATTCTAAATACTAAGTAATTAGTATTTCTTTAACCTTAGCTAACTGAGATAAGGTCCAGGTTAAGAGAAACACAGAGCCCCTTCTCTCCAAGGACATTGCTAAGGAAACCATCCAGTGCCTGCATAGTTGTCTTATTACCTCAGAGGGAGAAGGCTGGGCATTTCCATCGTGGGAATCAGGGGAAACCTGTGAAGGACATGCTATGGCAGCCACCCATCCTGTGCCTTTGCACAGGAGTTTCCCAGTCACCAGGTATTACCTAGCAGCCAGGCATCCTGTGTCTTTGCATAGAAACTTCCTAGTCACTAATAATGTCACAATCATGAAGTTTGTAGACCCCAATCCCAAACACAGAATTCCCACACAGGCTTATATTTTTTTCTGTCCTATAGATGATGGCTTTTTTTTTAAATTCACTTAGGTTGTTCTGTCTTAAAGAAAGAATACTTCTTTAAAACACTAATAGGCAAAAGTTATAAAGTTCTATGAGAATACATAATGAAAATAACAAGACTGAAAACTTTTAGTTTGTATAACAGCTGTGAACCAAGAAACATAATTTCTACAATAATACTAATGTATCTTTGGTATCTAGTTTGCTTCCACAAAGACTCATAAATAACTCAATCACATGAAATCCTTTAAAAATTTCACTTTACTTACAAATTTATTACTACCTTAAATATTTTCAAATGATTTACCCAAACCTTTGTTTTGCTTATATCCCTATTTTGAGATCACAGAAATCTTTACAACAAAAATCTATCATTTGAACACAACATTGTTGAGGACCACAGCTGAGTGGTGATGACGAATGGCATTTTGCCAGAAGGGAGTGGCTTCGGGTGCCCGCTGTTTTGGAGTTCTCGGGGATTCCTGGGGAGTTCGTGTTGGTTGGTGAAGTTCTGCTTGAGGGAGTTCCGATTGGTTGGTGTGTGGTGTTCCTGAGAGGGCTGCGTGGGTGGCATGGGGGGGGGGAGTTCGGAAATAAAGTTTGTTCCTGCTTGAGTGGCTCCTGATTTGTGCCCAGCCAGACTGCGGCACAACATGAACTCCTATCATGGAGTAGGGTGAGAGGCAGACACTAATCTCAGGTAACATGGGGCTCTTGACATCTAACACCACACCAGATAAATGGCCACAAGATAAACACTCCCACAGGTATTTTGTCTGGTTTCTCTGCTAGAGAACTGACACACAGCTGTTTACCAAACCTCTCCCTTTCCTGCACTGCACTCTCTGCAGGCAAAGAAGCTGTGGCAGGCAGGCAGGCTGGTAACCTCTGACACTGTTCTTAAAGCCACCAATTGATCCTCTGCTGACCATATCACACTGTCTCAATCTGAATCCAAACAAGTTTGTATCAAAGTCCACATCCTTTCTGCATTTTCAGTAATGCACCTGGGCATATTATCTGAATTACTATAGTACAGCACCCAACTCTCTGATAAGTCCCATCCCTCTTTAAGGAAACAAAGAAACCTTTTAATAACAAGTTCTAGAAACTGCATCAACTATACCTTCTTCATTCTAAGTATAACATAACTCTATTTAGAGTTTAAATTCCCCATTCTTAACGTCAAGCTATCTTAAAGATTCCTCCCTCCTCTCTCTCTCTTTAACTTGACGAATGCACATTTTTCTGTGAAGGAGAGGCTGAGCATTCACCTGACATTCTTTCTTCTGAATTCCTCTCCAGGGTCCTGTTCTAGGTGCCAGTTGTCACCCATGACCTGCGTGGGGAGGAAATAAGTAACTCTCTGAGTGTGAGCCCTCTGGAAGTAAAAAGTCTGAAAAAGTAATATCAAGAAATGAAGCAAAGTACTCAGGAAAATATTTACAAAGCCGGGCATGATAGGTGGGAGAGACCTGATGGGTCTAATCCTAACAAAGTGTAAGGGTCCGGCGAACGTTGGAGGAAGAGACCACCAAGAGACCGACTCATGCAACCACAAAAGGGGGTTTATTGAGGATCCAGCATGCTGGGGCTCCGTGCTCACTCAAGAAGGAAGAGCGGCCAAGAGCCCCGAGCAGGGGTTAAGCAGTGCTTAAGTACACTTTTTGGGGAGGGCGGGGGCTTTTCATACATCAGAGCAAATCATCATGAGGCGCAGGAAAATCAAACAACAATTCTCAAACATGATTAGTACATTCATTGGCAGGAACAGGTCAGGCGGGGGTGATAGGTCAGTTCTAAAGCGGGGTACACATTCAAACTGATTGGTTTAGGCCCTGAGATGCCTACGTGCCAAGCTGCACAGGGTCCTAGGTTATTTAACAACTAAATGGTCAGGGGGAATATCTACTGGGCAGTCCCGTGAATTGTCCTAACAGCTACAGGAATTTCAGGTTTTGAGTGTAGCATAGGAACTTAACAATACCTGATCCTTTACATTTTAACTCAGGCTTTGAAGCTTAGAAACTTTACAATGCCTGGTCTTTAACTTCAGTTTCTTTTATCCTTTCAAAAGGGGACAAGCCTGGAAATGCTTTATTTATAGTGAAACACACCAAAGAAATTTGTTGTGGGGAGGTAAACAAGAAGGGAGAAGCTATGAGGAAATTGGCCTGATTGGGGACTTACCATTTGGGCTGTCATTCTTCCTCCTTCAGGTAGCTGGTGCCACAGGGGTAGTTGGTGCACTGTGTCTCTCTCTATCTCTGGGGAGTTGCATTTGAACATGGGGCTGTCCAAGCCAATAAATTCCATGGTATCACAGCATTCTCTTTCAGCAGGACATTTTCCAAGGCAATGAAGCAGCCTCAGATTGATGAGATTACCCTGAGAGTTCTCTTAGGGGCACACCTCTGCTTCAAAATGGTTTAGACATGCTCAAAGTTTACTTGTGGTATCCCACTGATATCTCGTCCCCAGGGCTTGTCTTGTCACTGGGAAAGAATGTATTGGGAGAGGATCGAAGTTATCAATGTGTTGTCTTCTTGCTCATTCCCTCTTCCCAGGCGACACTATTTTGGGGTTTGTCATTTTCCATATCTTACACCAACATTCTCTCCTGCAAAGTCAGAGAGGGATTAATAAATTTCACTCCAACAAAGCCTTTTTCCTCCGTCCAGCAGCTGTTCCATCCACTTTTAACTGGTTGACATGCCCCAGAATTTTTTTTCAGGTTTTTAGAAATATTTTTAGTTGTATATGAACATGATAACTTTATTTATTTATTTATATTTATGTGGTGCTGAGGATGGAACCCAGTGCCTCACATGGGCTAGGCAACTGCTCTACCACTGAGCCACAGCCCCAGTGTTAGGATGGCCTTAGGCCTGAACTTAAGCAACTCCATTTTAAAAAACTCCAGTTTGAAACCTGCAGTCTCAGCAGGCACACCCACAGAGCCCTCCAGTATGGCCACAAACAAGTTACTTCCCCTCACCCTGATAAACAGAGTGAAGCCCCTGGTAGGCTGTCCTAGCCTGATAAGAGGGAAAGGTGAGAAGATCAGGGTGGAGACCACCAGACCAGGGTAAATGATGTCACTGAGAAATCTGGTAGTAGCTGATAAGGATTGAAAGGGGGGTCAAAATCCCCCATATTTAGTATAAATGATAGAGCAAATGAATAGGGATTAAGCCAACTGAAACAAGGACCTGACATCCCATCACTTGTCATTATTCCAGAGCCTCTGCGTGATCCTCACCCCTCTCAAACTCCACCGCCTCCTCTGGACCTTGATGAGAGCTGCAACTTCTCCCTATGCAACTGGTCTTCCATTCCACGCCAGGAAAAGCCTGCCTTGGTTCCGGACCTGATCACTGTGGTCTGAGTGAGTGTGCATCTGCTGGACTCAAAGCCTAAGACTTAAGACCTTTGAACTTAGCATGCAGAGGAAATGTCTGTCATTAGCCTATCATAACTCAGTGTGTTTTGCAGTGCTTAGAATTAATCTAGAATTGTTTGCTCTGAATTAACTAATCTAGAATTGTTTGCTGTGAATTGATTATGTTTATTGCAATGCCTAGCATTAAGGATTGTTGTTTTCTTGATTAAGAACCTATAGAGTGAAATTGTATTGAGTCATTTGAATGAATAAAGCATTGAAATGGGCAGAAGTGCGTGGACATTCTTTATTTCTCCCCTCAACTCCATATGTCACAATTTTGCCCCCTCATGACACCCAGCCAGTCCTAGAAGTTTTGATAGAGACAGAATGTATAAATGGAGTATAGGGATTCTGGATGAAAAGCAAAGTAATAAAGCTTTAGTCCATTTTACTCATCCTTCTGAAGATCTCCCTGTGACCTCTAAGATGAAGTCAGAGTTTTGAGATGAGCCTAGATTCCTTCCTTTGCCCATCTCCTCATGGATTCTTGTTTCCCAGATTTGAAAAATAAAATCTATGGATAATAAGGGAAGGGAAGAGCAGAATCCCACCATGTGGGAGGGGGCCAGATAGCAGGAAAGCCCTATGCTGGTTTAGGAGCTTAAAAAACATTGAAAAAGTATCAAGGCTATTGGTTGTGGCCTTTACCTGAAGGTTAATCCCTGTAATTCTCTTATGGGTCACCCCCACTTTGAATTTTCCTGCTTCTGGGACTAAGGAGCTGCCTGGATTATTCCCACAGTTGAACCCCATCTCATGGCCATTTACCTTTGAAATAGACCTTGAAGGTATTTCTACTAGTTATCCTCCAGGTGTGGCCTCTGCATTTGAATAAGACCTCAACTGGGTCCCCTGATTTTTGATTGCTGACCATAGCTATTCTTATTCATCAATATTCTGCTTGGCTGGCCATCTAAAATATGTGGCTTAATAATTTCAAAGGCATCTTTTTTTTTACCAGTTTAGATGGATCCTTTTTCTTAGAGTTTTATTTAAGTCACACAAACTGAAAGGCATTTGGATCTATTTATTAAACTTATGAGTTCTTATTTATCTATAAGCTAATTTTGATACTGTGTCTATCACAAACACATAAGTAGATATTATAATACCATACACAGGTGTGCACACATAAAGAAAAAAAACAAGCAAGCAAACAAACAAACAACAATAAAAACAACAAAAAAGAAAAAACAACAAAATTGTAGCTTTTTCACAGGAAAAATAGAGCTTATCACAGATTTTTATAATGAGAAACTGATGTGACTCCATTTTTGAAAAAAAAAATAACAGCAGCTTCTATCTCAAGGCCTGTCCTAAGGAAGGGGGCGTGACCCTTATCCTTGGAAAAAACCCACAGATCCTTCCTAGGCAGATAGCCACCCTGCTGAGTTGTTTGTCTGTAAATAACAGGAGAGATCTGCTGCTCCAGTTGTCCACGACTTAGTTAGGCTAGGTGAGGACCCATAGCAACACCCCTAGCAACTGCCAATCAGCATGAGACAGGGAAAATACATGGGATGCCAGATAGATGACCCCTCAGTAGTTTATGGTGGTTGATAACATGTTGGGAAACCATGTAGTTTAGCATGTACACCCCTCATGGCTTAAACCAATCAGTTCAAACGAATCCCCCTCTTGTACTAACCTATCACCCCTACCCAACTTGTTCCCTCCAGTGAATGTGCTAATCAAAGTTAATAGTTGTTTGATTTTCCTGTGGTGTGAAATGATTTGCTGTGTGATGTTGTGACACATGTAGTATCCCCAAAAACCTATAAAAGCTCACTGAACAAAGGACTGGGACTCACTCTCTGGGACCGCTGCATTGGAAACAGTTGTGAGTCCAGGCTGGAGCTTGCAACAAAGACTCTTATGTGATTGCATTGGATTCGGCTCCTGGAGATCTATTGGGGGTCCCACGAATCTGGCATTACAATAGTATGATCTATTAGATGTGGAAAATGGCAAACCCCAAAATAATATGGCCTGGGAAGAGGGAGTGAAGAGGAGGGGGCAGCACACTGATGGCATTGACCTTTCCCAGTGCATTCTTTCCCAGTGGCAGAAGAATCCCTAGAAAGGAAGCCAAAGCATTGATTTTTTTTTCCTGAATAAATCCTTTTCAGGGACAGTATAATGGGACCCTAAAGGGAAAGAGATAAGCACTGAATGCTGACCCCACCCCCTCCATTCTTCTCCAAGTAAAACTATTGCCCAGTAAAAACAAATTTCAAATTCTCACAAACCTGTTTTCTGAGTGCCCAAACTGACATGCTGTGTCAATAATTGAGTCACCTCTCAGTGTCATAAACCTATATAAGCGCAGACTCCTCCTTTGGCCAGTGGCTCATTTTCCACTAGGAAAGTGAGTCCATCAGAGGCATGACTCCATTGCTGAATGAAGGCTTTGCTGATCCATGAAGTTTGCATCTGGCTTGGTCCTTTGGGGGCCTTTGCAATTGGGAACATTAGGAATACAGTTTGAGCCATGGTGGATGCAGAAGTCAAAAGTTCAGGTGGCCACGCATCCTTCATGTGGAAGATTTATTCCCACCATTACTATTGTTTATTTCCCTGCTCAGGACTCTTTAAAGGAAAGAGGATTTGTACATATGGGGCTCTTTCTATTTTTCTTCCCTGTCCCTAGCCCTAAAATTTTTTATTCCCTATTTTTGGTAGGCTCCTGTAATTGAGTTTCCTCTTGTGCATTTAACCACCTACTGTCCATATGTTCAATCCTCTTATTGGGTATTTCTTGCATATCCAGGGCCCCTAACTGCTCGGTCATACTTACTAGGGATTTCTTGCCTGACCACCTTCAAGCTTGAGATACATTTTTCTTTTTGGTCTATGTATATGAATAGAATTAGTTGGTCACCATGGTACTTGCCTGGGCCCTTTTCCTGTGTTGTCTATCTACTTTTGATCCACTTTGGAATTTGGGCCCTTTGTTGGCCTCAGGGATGGCAGTTTCCTCACCAACTCAGTGGTTACCATAAGAAGGCAGAGCGACATATTGCCTCTGAGGAGGGGGATTACCGAGACCCCTAGACAATAAATGGAGTGCCACATTGGGTGCTAAAATTGTTAGATATAACAAGGTGCTGCAAGAAATGAAACACATGCTCAAAAGTGGGTGGGCAAGGCAAACTTTTACCTCTGCCAGAAGGACTGTGCTACTGGAACTGAGAAACTGACGTGACTCCATTTTTTGAGAAACCAGCCTCTACCTCAGAGCAAGGCCTGTCCAAAGGAAGGGGACATGACCCTTGTCCTTGGAAAAATCCACAGAACCTTTCTAGGCAGATAGCCAACTTGATGAGTTGCTTGTCTGTAAATAACAGGAGAGATCTGTGGCACCAGGTGTCCCTGACTCAGTTAGGCTAGGTGAGGACCCATAGCAACCCCCTAGCAACCACCAATCAGCATGAGACAGGGAAAATACTTGGGATGCCAGATGACCCCCCAGTAGTTTATGGTGGTTGATAACATGTTGGGAAACCATGTAGTTTAGCATGTACACCCCTCATGGATTAATCCAATCAGTCCAAACAAATCCCCCTCTTATACTAACCAATCACCCTTACCCAATTTGTTCCCACCAGTGAATGTGCTAATCAATGTTAAGAGTTGTTTGATCTTCCTGCGGTGTGAAATGATTTGCTGTGTGATGTTGTGACACATAGAGTATCCCCCAAAACCTATAAAATCTGAACAAAGAAATGGGACCCACTCCTTGGGATCACTGCGTCGGAAACAGTTGAGTGCAAGCTCTAGCTTGCAGTAAAGACTCTTGTGTGATTGCATCGGATTCGGCTCCTGGAGGTCTATTGGGGTCCCATGAATCTGGCATTACAGAACCTGGCCAGCAAGGGCACCTGGGCGGGCAGCCTGCCTGTTTGTATACCTAAGGCAGTGCTGCCCTTTTTCTTGATTGGATATCTTCAGGGTATAATCTATGTTATTAGGGCAGGTAAGGGGAAAGGGCTACAATTAAAATGATTACGATTGGATCCAATTAAAGCTGAATAGTATATTCTGAAAATAGATCACCAGACTTTCTATTTATCACACACAAGTGAGAGAGAGAGAGAGAGAGAGAAGGAAACAAAGAACATGACAGGGAACTAGACTCCTCAAGGACTTATGTTTCCCACATTGAGGAGGAA